GCCTCAGTTTCCTCATCTGTTGAAATTGAGGATAATAAAGTTTCATACGGGTTGATATGAGCATTAAATGAGATGATAGCTGGAAAGCCCTCAGCACACTGTCTGACCCCATCCCAAGGATCCTTTAAGTGTTCGCTATTGTTATTGTTATCATTTTATTAACAATTCCTCCTAACAGTTTAAAGCACTTTGCCCCATATCATTGCATTTCATTTTATAACACACCCTTGTGCTAGACAGAGGAAAGCATTTTCCTTCCCACTTTACAAACACATACACTCAGGCTCCTGTGTATGCTTATGGCCAAAATCAGTCCTGAATCCCAGGTCAGACTCCCAACCTGGTGTTCATTTCAAAATGCATTTCCTTTCAAGACGGCAACAATGAATCAAAACCCCGACTAGCAGAGCAGGAACACAGACTCTGTAGCTTTCTTTTTCTTCTCATTCCCCTGAAGCATCTACTCACTGTGCATGGGGGCTCTATGCTGCCAGAAGCCTACCCAGCCAGGGGATAGCAGCAGCAGTAGGGTTAACAGCTGTTCATCTGTCTGAACTCGCAGCTGTGTGAGAGCCTGTGTTGCAAGTTTAATAGCTTCCTCACATAACTGGCTTTCTCCACCCCCTTGGAGTGTTTCCATTTTCTCCAGCTTTCAGTATCAGCGAGTGTTATTAAATGATAAGAGAGTTTGCTTTCTGGTTGTATATTGTGAGAGGCTGAGAAACAATGAGTGTTTTGACACATTAGAGGGCATGTTAGCTCTGATTATGGGAACTCCGTATCAGAGAGCAGATCATGTGACAGGACTGCATCTGGGACGCAGCCTCCCTTCCCCGGAGGGTTATTAATGGGCCTTCATACCTGGGAAGACGGATTGCGATGTCTGGGCGATGCAATAATTAGAGATACGTCACTTATCATAAGCAGGGCCCCGGCACCTGGGGCTGGCAGCTCTGTTCCATGTATAAGGCAGGCTCCATGCTCCAGAGAGAAAAGAAAAGTGGAACTTGTTAAGGTCACCTTACCTGAAGGAGGCCATCTTACATTGTTACCCATGGGCATTGACTGGCTATTGGTACTGAATAGAGAAAGAGGTCTCAGGGCTAAGGAGCAGACAACCTGAGATTTAGTCCTAATTCTACCACCATAAAGCTATAAGATTTTAAATAAGAGTCACTTAACTTGTGACAATCAGTTTTTTGATATGAGAAAATGGGGACAATGTATGCCCCACTTATCTCAAGGAGTTGCACTCAAAGGTCATCTCTGTCAAGGTAGTGGGGTGGAGACAAGGGTGTGTATGTGTATGTAAAGGGGGACATAAGGATGTTTCCAGGCAGAAGGGAAGGGGCTGGTAAAAAGGCAGAGACTGACAACGCATGGGAGAAGAGGTAGACAAAATTAGCTAAGCTGGGGCTGGAGAACGCAGGGAAAAGTGAGAGAAAAACTAAGGTACAGGGTTTAATTTTGGTCATCCTTCCTATGGAGCAAAGAAGAGAGCTGGGATTGAATAACTGCAAGGAAACTCTGAGAAGAGGAGGAAAGTCAAGGAAGTTCACGACTGATATTCTTAAACTTCCCTGTGCAAAAAATTTTAAGGTCATCTGCTGCAAGCAACAGGAGCAAGGGGAGATTTCAAGACTTGAAGAAAGTAGAAAACCTTTAGAATAAACAAAGGAAGTCAACAGAGCATCGTTTCAACAATGTCTTGACCTCAGAGTCAGAACAACTTGGGTTTTGACCTAGCTCTATCTCTTCCTCCTGGGAGAGTCCTAAGTAGTTTCCTATTACTTCCCCAATCTGTACTTCGGGGTTATAATCTATACCTTCCAGGCCTGTTATGAAAATTAAATATGATCACATAGGTAATGTGCACAAGACCATGCTTGACACATAAAAGCTTCTCATTATTTTACCAAAGTAGGCATAATGGATATTTTACCAAAGAATGCATAAAACGTCCAGCGTTGCCAAACAAGATCGTCCAATTTGGAAGTTGGGTTGTGTTGGCCTATCTGCTTGTACCAGGATTAAATTATATTCTTTATAGGTGTGTACACGCTTTCCTTTCAGAGAATGTCTTCAACTTCAGTGCTGTTCATGCCTTACATTTCTCCTCTCATGCTCGTCTATCTGCTCATGGCCTTACGTTATGGACTGGATAGAGAAAGTGGGTCTCTGTTTGAGTGCAGGGTAATGTGTTTCCTATGCTCCTGAATTGATGCCAATGGCACATCAGTCCAAGCAGGTAAGCCTCAAGCCACACCTCTTTCCTGGCTGAGAAGGAAAAATCGTTTGTGGAGTTTGCACAGGTAGGCCATGTAACTTAGCAGCTGCATTGGTATTGAACTGCCTTCCGTAGACACATGGCTCATTTTACTCAAAGGAAAGCCCAAGAATAAATATCAAGAGATTCCTTTTAGAGTTCTTTTTACCTAAAGCCCTTTTTAGATTTCCTCTTTATTACATTTTACATGAGTAAGGTAGATAATCACAAATGTGAACATTCACTCCAGTTGGAATGTAGGTGGAAGTTAACCTGGGAGGGAAGAAGACCCTTACAAAAAGCAATTAGGTACCCTTTCAAATATCTAATAATTATTCTTTCATGAGAAAGCCCCAAGTGAGGTACAAACCCAATTCGAATACTTCATAAGGATAAAAACATCCTTCAAGTGGAGTGACTATTTTCTTATAAAAATGCCCTCTATTTATAAAGCATCTATTGAGTGCACAGGTAGTGGAGGGGTGTGTATCTGTATAAGTGTATGTGTGTGCTTTTGTTTTATTTTGTTTGTTTTTCCCTGTAATCCCCTCAAGGATTTCAAAGACAGGAACTATTATCCTCATTTCCCAGTTGAGAATCCAAAATTCCGAAAGGTTACTGACTTGCCAAAGTTCCTGCCTCCTGCAAACAGCTGAGATAAGATTTAAATCCAGGTGTACCTAGAGCCAATGCCCAGGTTCTTTCTCTTTCCTGGAATTTTCTAATGCTTACATAGTTGGCTCCTTGAATCACTCAGCCTCCATGTTCCTCTATTCCATGGCACGCTCAAATCATTCTGGCCACTAGAGTAGAAAGCGATGAGATGAAACCAAGAGATTGTTTTATCAGCTTTTCCACTCATGTGCCTGAATGGTTCCTACCTTTACTAACAAGAGAGAAAGCCAGTCACAAGGCTTTGGGGAAGCCATTTGTGCTTACTTGGGAAAATCTTGAGAATTATATGTTGCTAGCAGAATTCTCAAAATTTTTGCATCAAGGCATTGATATACTCTGTAAAGATATAGCTTTTCTGACCTTAAAAAGGTGAGGAGGGGCATGAATCTATCTCCAAGTGCCAATTAGCATGTTAAACAAGTGGCAAAATTTTCCACAGAATAGGTAATTTGGGCAGGGTAATATATTTTCTCCTAAGTAAATAGTAAATTCAGTCAGAGTATATTTGAGCACCAAGAAGAATCTTATTCTGTTTAAATATTGCTTCTGACAAAATTTTACTATTTTTATATCATTTTAAGATTATGGATATCTCTATTTCAAGAGAAAACCACTTGTCTGGTAGACATAACCAACTGGCAATTATAGATTATAAGAACTGTGACCCAGACCGGTAATAAGTGAGCATCTCCCTGCCTTCTCTTAGGTGAATTCCTGGAGCTTGTTAGTACACCTACAGAACTAGACAGCCCACATCAGGAAGGTACCCCTTTTTTGCTGTTGTTAAATTGGCTTTACCAACTCAGAAAGACTATCCAGAATTCTCAGCTCTTGAGTCCCTGTATATCCAAGGTCCAAAATAATCAATTAAACTTATGATTTAATGTTAATATTGAGTTGAGGATAATATTGAGAAAAATAGTTCATCAGCTAGAAAAATCAGCTAGAAAAATTATGTCACTAGACATAATTTCATGTATCGGTAAGTCAAGAAAAAAAAACATTTGAATTTGTCAATAGGTCACCATTCTCCAATGCTGTCTCTCTTTTCAAAGTGACTTTGCAAGATACACAGTTTTAATGCTAATGCATCGTTTTCTAGAATACACTTACCAATGAAACTTCCAAAGAATCTTATTGGCATAGTGAATTTAAAGTCTCAGAAGATTATCTCTGGCTTTTTATGGCCAGATACTCCTGACAGTTTTTCAATCATGTATGGAAAGTACGGAGACGTAGTAAATTCTGCCAGGCTTCACTGACTAATCCTATATGTTTTCACCCGTTGAGAATGCTTTCAGTTTTGGAGATTTCTTGGCTAGTAAAGCTTACGGTATTAAATGGTGCTAAGTGAAGAAACGCCAAAAACATGTACAACATGAACACCAAACAATTTTCCTTCGTGAGTGAGATGCCAGTATGAGACAACTTAATGTGGTAGAGAACTTGACCAATGGTGGGTGCCAGCAGATGAGGAATGGACATTAATTCAGGTGGTGACACAGAGGTTGGCACTGTGAGGATTTTTAAATTCCAGAACTAAATGGATGATCCACTGGGAGGCAATGTCCAGACAGATCAATACCGTTCAAAAAGATAATTGCTTATCTTGGTGAATCCTAAGAAAGGGCTGGGGCTTTAGGGAAATTGAGAGAGATTTCTTTTTTTTTTTCTCTTCCACAAAAAGGTAATTAATGAGTACAACAGACAATTCAAGGCAAGAGAATAGAATCTGAAAGCTTAAAAGCTGTACATTCAGAATGGATTTAGAGATTTACAGAAAGGCTTTAGCCCAGAACAGTGCCTCCAGAAGTGGACAGAGCTACAGTGGTGACAATGTCTCCTTGAGAGATGTGTGCTAAAATCTTCCATTGGGCAAGCATCCAAAAACATTTGAGCAAATGAGATATGCCTTCCAGCTTAGCTATGTAGATAGAAAACGAGTCAAATATTTAGAAAAAAATAGGGATTCAAGTTGTCCTAAAGCCAGTTTGCAAATGAAGCCTGAAATACACTCCATATGGGATGAATGAGTGTGAATTTTACTCCAGCTATCATCTATCATGCTTTCTTGGACTGTAAAAAGTCGCTACTCCATCCATCAATATTACTTTGGAAGGTGGTTTAGGATATAAACTCAGAGCCTCTTCATTCCTTGAAATCTCTAATGGAATTTTGTTATACAAAGTATATCGTTACTAAGCTTAAAATTATAAGGCGAGTGTTAGCATTGTGTTTGAAAAATTTTTTTCACAAAGTCTATGTTAGTTAGAAAGGAAAATTTTTGCTCTATATTGAATGACAAAAGCTTAGACAAAAGGGACAGTGTCTAAGTGTCATAATTTGCTTTCTTATCCAGTTCCCTCTGCCACACTACAAGTTCCTTAAAGACGGGGTTCCAGGCCTGTTCATCCTTGTGTCACAATAGGTGCTCAATAAATGTTTTGCAAACTTACTGCGTATGTATTAAACATATACTTGATGCCTGACATTAATTCTCTTACAAGGTTTTTTTTTTTTTTTTGAGATTTGACTATATTTGAGCATGAAATGGTTTACCTAAAACAAAACAAACCAAGAAAACAAAACAAAATCCTTTCTTTACAACATCAAGTGATTTGTGTCCTGACGTAAAAGTGAATAATCTCTCTCTTCGCCTAATGGATTCTGCTGTATTAACCTCCTGTTTTATTTGAGAAATGGCTACACTTAAGGGTCAGGAACTCTGGGGAGATTATTTCTATTCTTTCAAAATTTAAAATAATCTCCCAGAAACTTGAAAGCTGGTTGTATACGGAGAAGCAACAGAAGGGAGATGTGAGTTTCAGTTTCATCAAATAAGATCACCCTCCCAAGCCATCTTTCTAGAGGCCTTGCACGAAGGAAGGTCAGAGAATATCATTAAGATGTATCTTTCATGCAAAGGATGGAGAAGGATAATCTATGAAAGACACAGATAGAAAAGAATCAAATATTTAGAAAAATAAGGATTGAAGTTGTCACTTTGGGGAGAAACAGTTTACAAATGTAGTCTGAAATACACTTTACCTACAAATAATTTCTTAAAATTTTTTATTTTGAAATAATTTTAGATTTACAGAAAAGTTGCAAAGATTGTAGAGAGAGTTCCTTTATACCCTTCACCCAGCTTCTGCTGATGTTAACATGTTACATCACCGTGGTACATTTATTGAAACTAAGACACTATCGTTTGTACAATACTATTAACTGCAGATTCTACTCAGATTTTCCTGGTTTTTCAACTGATGTTCTTTGTATGTTCCAGGATCCTATCCAGACACCACATTTCACTTACTCTTCATGTCTCCTTAGTTTCCTCTCGTCTGTGACAGTCCACAAATTCTTTTTAATTGAAAGAATTATCTAAAAGTGTGTTGGTTAGATCAATACCATCCCTCCTACCTTTCCTTTCTCTGCTGAACTTGTGTATCAGTCACTTCCTTGGCTCTTAATTCTAATTTATGCATTGAATATTCTGTCATTGCACATGATTGTAATTGTACTGATGTGGTCACATGTTCAAGATGTATATCACACTCAAATCCATTGAGTATACAAAAGCACTCTTCTAGTCTCACCAAACCACCCTCTTTTAATCATTAGGACATAGTATGGAATGGTTGTTGAGAACACAGACCTTGGAGCCCAATTGGCTGGATTTGAATCCTCGCTCTAGTTGTATGACATTAGGCACGTCACTTAATCTCTTTGTACCTCAGTTTCTGCATTTGTAAAATGGGGATCATGGAAGATTAAAATGAATAAATGTACAAAAAACACTTAGAACAGTTAATCGGCACATGATAGGTGTTATACGTTAGCTCTTATTATAGTTATTATTGACCACAAAAAGATGAGTGAAGGAAATCAGTGTAGGCAGTAGAACATTCCTGGATTCTGCATCAGAATGCCTCAGTTAACGTCTTGGCTCCATACTTTGTAGATAGGTAGGTTCTTTGTATTCTGTAATACAGGGATAACAGTACCTACTCTATGTTTTTCAAGGAATTATTTTCAAGATCAGATGAGATAAGGCACAAGAAAGGGCTTGTAAAATGCAAAATGCAAACCTGAGCAATAACAATATGTAGTATGGGGATGGGGGGCTAGGACAGGAAGGCCTGGGGGGCCTTACCGTGCAGCCTGGTCCCAACAGTAGTAGAAGATGTATAGGTATATGGGAGTGGTTTGTGTTGGTCATAAGCATTGGATGGTTCACGTACATTGTCCCTTTGCTCGACCAAATAGTGTGGGTATGGGAGACAAAGCTACCTGGAAAAGAGAATGATACAGGTATTACCCTCTTATAGGCTCACCAGAATGTTCCATGCATTTCTGTTGATACTCATAGGGGACAGGGATAAGGGGACAAGATGGGCTTGGGGACTTGGTGAGTTAGCTGTTAATCTGAATTCCTCATTTCCCTGTTGGCATTGTTTATTTCAGTTATTACCACAAAGAACTTTTAGAAGAAGCTGTGCCTTGCGTTCTCTCTAAGTGGCATCCTGCCACCTCGGGCTTAGTGCTTTGAGAATCTGCAAGCTGACACAGTGACCAAGGAGTGATCTTGAGGACAGAGGGCCAGGGTGTGGAGTGTACTGGGGCTGCCAAGGCCAGGCTTGCCATTGATTTTCTGCTTTGTTACCAAGCAACTGAGATTTCTTCCACTAAAGAAAAAGATACACCATCTCCATGCAAAAGAGAAATATGTTGAAAAGGAATAGAATGGGAACTTAACTTCACTTATCCCTTACGAACAAGGATGGCATGCTGAGTCTGAGTTCTGAATTCAGGGTCTCGATGCAGGAGCAGGCAGATGGGGCAGCTGCACATGGGGACTCTTTTTTTTTTAATTTTTTTGGAAAACTACCTCTTCTAGAATCTAGAATTGTAATTATGTAATAAATATAAGGGACCCTCAAAAGACCCAGCACTCCTGTAAAGTCTGCAAATTGAGGGACAAATTATATGACTAATAGCTAACATTCATTAGGTGTTTATTATATACCAGGCACTGTTCTAAGCATTTTACATTTAATCCTTACAACCTTGTGAAGTAGGACTGATGATTAATACCATTTTACAGATGAGAAAACTGAAGTACCTAGTAGATAGGAAAATTGCTCAAAGTTGCACAGATTGTAATTCAGAGTACTTTTCCAAAAGCTCTTCTATTCAGATAACAGTATTTTTGATAATTAAGATCATTAATAAAGAACTTACAGTGATAATGTTATTTCATCCCTACTCAAATTAAATTGGTGTGTGCAAAAAAAAAGCCATAAACACAATGATCAGTGTTGATACTAGTCATTTTATCTTTAAAAGTATCTCCATCAATTCCATTAAAAGGGATTAACTGTAAACTGAAATTTAAAATTGCTTGAGCAGTGCTGGGGTTTTGTTACCTTGAAACAATCTCCATGACTCAGTGATCTGGGAGGAAGAGTGATTTTTGGTAGACTAATTTACAGAGTTTTCTACTGAGAAAAGAAAAGGAAAAGAAAAAAATCGGATAATTACTCCCCTTAAAGACCAAGTTATGACCTAATTATGTATCACACACACTTGTGAACCTGGGCGAGCTTGTCCTCCAGTGTCTGGTACAGTAAACAGTTATCTGATCTGATCAAAGGGTGACAAACCCTAAGAAATCTGATCTCTGGTGAAAAGAGATTCCCCATGGATAACAATCAGGGATTACATATTTTCAAAGACCAAGAAAACAGTGAAATGCCCTCAGCTAGATAGAACACAGTATAATCGTTCTTGGTTGTTCGGAGGGATTTTGCACTGCCTCAGGCCTGTCATTATGAACATCAGCGATCATTGTGGGAATATGGGAAAGTGCTGGTGAATAGGAAGCTCCAATTACAGAACACTGGATAAAACAGCTTTTGCTATAATTATACTGTGTTTAGATTGATGGGCTTAATGAGCAGTGTTTCTTAATCCAAATGTTGATTTAGGAATGAGTTAAAATTAGGGCTAAAACTGTGTTAGTAAATTTGTTTACTGGATTGACTATGTGGCTCCAAGTAGAATTCAGATTATTCAACTAACATTTCTTAAGTAAACTGATGTCAGGCCCTGGGCTAGGTCCTGGAGATCCAAAAGTAGATGAAACCCTTAAGGAGTGACAGCCCAGTCAGGGAGAGGGAACTTTAATGATAATAACATGGTAATCATAATAGCAGCTGATATTAATTGAGCCCTTCCTAGGTGCCAGACACTGTTCTAAACACTCTGCCTGTATTAATTCATTTACCTACTACCACCATAACCCATGAAGGAGGGACTTTATTACAGGTGAGAAAGAAGACACAGGCTAAGTAATTGATCCAAGGTCATGCATGTAGTAAGTGGCAGAGCAGGGCTTAAACTTAGCTAGTCTGATTCCAGAACTCAGGCCCTTAAGTCCCATCTTAGTATTCCAGAGAAGCTTTCAATATAAATATGTTTAATTTTAAATGGAGTATTTGGGGTCAAGAAGAGGTATAATTAACCATGTTTGTCTATGCTGCTAGAGGTGATGAGGCCAGACCATAATAATATTATCCTAATTCCCATGTTCACTCTACTCCAACTGTACTGGACTCTTTGCCATTCTTCATGCAGGTCAATCTTGTTCTTCCCTCAGTGCCTTTGCACACATTAACATTGACCTGGATATCCCCTCTTTTACGGCTCTTTCACTCATCCTTTCCCATTTCTGCCCAAATGTTACCTTATTAATGAAGATTTGCCTAACTCATCCAATTTAGCAGCCCTTCTCTCCCATCCTGCCTTCCTGCAGTCTCCACTCCCTTACTCTGCCTTACTTTCCTCCATAGATTTTAACGTCATCGGATATACTATATATTTACTTGTTCTTTTGTTCTGTTTGTTTATTTGCCTCCCCACAGTAGAATATACGTTCCAGAGCTCAGTGACTTTCTTTATATTGTTTATCACTGAATTCCCAGAGCATAGAATAGTGCCTGACATATAGGGATTTAATGTATATTTTTTGATTTAACAAATTAAAAAGGGAGAAAACATGCCAAAAGGTTAAAATGGCTATATCTGAGGGTTGGAATTATGATTTTCTAAAAAGAATGCATTTCCCAGGTTTTTTATAATATGTGTTACTTTTCTAATCAGGAAAAGGCAAAAAATAAAGTGAAAAAATTAATCACTAACTCACTTCAGAAGCTCACTGATTTAGGGTTATTTTATATTAGGTTTTTACACACAGTGAGATGCTATTATTTGGAGTCCCTTGGAAGAGTTTGGTCTATAAAATGATCCTTTCTTTTCTGCTTACTCCAGACAGACTGCAGCTCTGACCACTCATCTGAGTGGGAGATTCACATATGGGATTGCCGGTGTGAAGAGCTCCCACTGGGGTACCCAGTAGGCATCTGAAATGCATCAGGTTTAAAACGGAACTCTTGATTCTCAACCTGCTCTTTACACAGTGATCCTCATCTCAATAATTCCAACATCCACCCAGTTGTGCAAGCTACAAACTTAGGATTCATACTTCCATTTCCTACTGCCCATATCTAGTCTATCAGAAATCCAATTGAATCTACCTCTGGAATATATCCCAGATCAGACCACTTCTCACTGCTGCTCACTACCACTGCTTTCCATTTAGTAGAGGCTAACCTGTAGCCACCTCAGCCATCTCTCACTTGAATGTTTGTTTTTTTTTTTTTTTTGTGGGGAATATCAGCCCTGAGCTAACATCCAATGCCAATCCTCCTCTTTTTTTTGCTGAGGAAGATTGGCCCTGGGCTAACATCCGTGCCCATCTTCCTGTACTTTATATGGGACGCTGCCACAGCATGGCTTGACAAGCAGTGTGTTGGTGTGCCCCCGGGATCCAAACCTGTGAACCCCGGGCCAGTGAAGTGGAGTTTGTGCACTTAACCGCTGCGCCACCGGGCTGGCCCCTCTCACCTGAACCTTTGCAGGCACTTTCTAACTGGTATCTTTGTTTCCACTCTTGTCTAATACCCCCCTCCCTGCCAACCTTTTCTCCTCAAAGCAGCAAGAATGATATTTCTAAAAATGTAAACAGCCTGTGTTTCCCCCCTGATTAGAATCCTCATGCCGGAGACTGGCCCGGTGGTGTGAGTGGTTAAGTGCTCGTGCTCCACTTCAGTGGCCCGGGGTTTGCAGGTTTGGATCCTGGGCGCCCACTGACGCACCGCTTGTCAAGCCATGCTGTGGCGGCGTCCCATATAAAGTAGAGGAAGATGGACAGGGATGTTAGCTGAGGGCCAATCTTTCTCAGCAAAAAAAAAAAAAAAAAAAAAAGGAAGATTGGCATCGGATGTTAGCTCAGGGCTGATCTTCCTCACACACAGAAAAAATCTTCAGGCAGCTTCACATTGTATTACCAATAAAATCTAGATGTATTAGTATGGACTTGAAGATCCTGCAGGATCTAACCCCGAAAGCCCCCTAAGGCCTCGTTCTCTGCCATTCACCTTTGCAACCACCACACTCTGGACTGTGGATCAAACGTGCCCAGCTTATTCCAGCTTTGGGATTCCCCCTTGTCCTGAGACCTTCTCCCGTCAGCACCAGGGCTGGCTCTTTCTCCTCATTTGGATCTCAGCTCAGAGGTCATCTTCTCAGGCTGACCTTTTTAATCATCCTACTTCAGAAAACTCCCATCTCCCTTCATGCCAATCACTCTATTCCATGCCACTT